TCTATCCCACCTTTTTCTAGCTTACTAAACAGCAGTTTGTGATCTACTTCGTCAAATGCCTTACTGAAGTCTAAGTATACTATGTCCACAGCGTTTCGCTGGTCTACTAATTTAGTCACTTTATCAAAAATGAGATGAGATTGGTTTGACATGATCTGTTTTTGACAAACCCGTGCTAGCTACTGGTTATAACTTTGCTTGCTTCTAGTTGTTCGCAGATATTTTTTTTTATTATCTTTTCCAGGATCTTCCCAGGTATTGATGTTAGATTTATTGGTCTATAGTTTCCTGGGTCTGTTTTTTTCCCCTTTCTTGAAGATGGGAACCACATCAGCCCTTTCCCAATCCTCAGGTACTTCCCCGGTGCTCCAGGATTTTGGAAAGATATGGTGCAATGGTTCTGAGATAACATCTGCCAGCTCCTTCAGAACTCTGGGATGTAATCTGTCGGGTCCCGGTGATTTATATTTGTCAAGGTCAGATAGGTGTTCTCTTACCATTTTCTTGCTTTTTTAAATATTTGTTTCTAATTTGTCTTTTGCAGTAGTTTTTTTTTTGGTATGTTGGGCTGTAATTTCTTTTTGTGTAAAGATTGATGCAAATAATGAGTTAAGCAGCTCTGCTTTCTCCCTACTGCCTGTCTTCTCTGCTTTCTCCTTGCCATCTTCTCTCTTTAGTGAATCTACAGTTCCCTTGACTTTTTTCTTGTTATTAATATGTTGAAAGAAACTTTTTTTATTGTCCTTGATTTCTGTTGCAAGTCTTTATTCATTCTGAGATTTTGCTTTCCTGACTTCATTTTTGCACGTTCTGGCTGTCTGCTGATAATCGGCCTTAGTTATGTGTCCCTCTTTCCATTTTTTGTACTTGTCCTTTATGTCTTTTAGTTTGTCAGAGAGAGCTTTGTGCAGCCATGCTGGTTTCTTCTTGAATTTGTTTTTCTTTTTCAGTGGTATTGTGCTGGACTAGGCTTTTACGATCATATTTTTCAGTGTTTCCCACGCTTCTTGCGTTGTTTTCCCATTTAGGATTTTTATCCATGGAATCTTTCCTAGGTTCTCTCTGAGTTTATTAAAATCAGCTTGTTTGAAGTTTAAGACTCTGGTTGAATTATTTTCTTTTTACATATATATAAAAGTTTTATTAATTTTTAAGAATGACAGTCTTTAGTGCTTAGTAAACAACATGTTATCTGAGTTCAAATATTTAACATTAACTTCTTCAATATAAATCCATACTACACAATCCAGTATTTTTTCCCTGATCCTCCTTTCTTCTCCATATTTTTTCCATTTTCCCCTCATTACATCATTACAACTTTTGGTACTGTTAATGTATACATAATTAAATATAAGCATCTTTATCATATTTTACTAATATCATGCAAATAACAATAATATCAATTCATAAATCAATAATTTCATTCATTAATCAATATACTGTTTTTTGTGCTCTTGTTAAGGTTTGATTTCTCATCAGTATTTAAAATATCTTTATCAGTTATGATTTTCTCAATATTAATTACATTTATATAGCTAAAAGTTTTCATATCAATCCTCTTATCTTCATATTTCCCATATCAAAAAAAGGGAAAAAAGATGCTATCTTAATTCTAAATAATATTTTTCATTATAAAAGTCTAATTATATGTAAGGGTCATCTGTTCTTTTAATCTTATTCATATTTAAACATATAATGCCCCCTCTAAAAGGTCAAACCTTATGTTTTTTAAATCTGACTCTTGCTTTCTTTCTTTGCCAAGTAGCTTTCCAAGCCAGGGCAATTAGATCGCCCAGGAATTTTCTTTCTGTTTTTGTATAAATTGCTTGGCATGAGGAAGACAATTTAGGTGGGGGAGGGGAATTCCACCCATTTATATTTCTTAAACAACTCCCACTTCCTTTCTCCCTTCATTTCTCTTTTCATTTCCTGTCTCCCAAGTTGTGACATTTCCCCTAATAGCTCTATATTCCATTTTTTAAAATCATCTTCCTTGCCATCAGATATATTTTGCAGACTTAAGGGGTAAAAGGTCTTTTACATTTTCATTGTTATAGCTAAGTCTTGCAGTATTTTGTTTGTATATAGTTGTTTATATTTCCCTTCTTTTATCTCTTCTGTCTCTAAATCCATTTCCTCTGTTTTATCTTTTGATTTCTGGATTATTTATTCATACTTTGTGGTCGTTATCTGGAAACTTTCTAGTTGTAGATTTAATCTGGAGATTTCCTCATTTATATTGTCTAAATTGTTTTTAGTCTCATTATGATTTCTTTTTATGTCCTCTTTGCATTCAATAATTGTTTGGTGAATTAGTTGAAGCATAGAATATATTTCTTTCTGAAAGGTGTTTGTTTTTTCTTGAGGCATCATTCCTGGAGATCCTGTAGTTGTCATGGTTCCGACAGATGAAACTCTTCAAAGAACTTTGAGGCATTGTTTACTTTAAAGAATCTTTATTCGAATAGCAACACATTGGCACGTACATGGGTCCAAGCCAAAATCTGGCTTCCCCTCCCCTAAGCACATAGTATCAAAGCACAATTCCCTCCTTCGACTAACAGTAATAAATCACATTCTCCAATTAGTTTGAAATGCTAGCTTTCACACCAATTCTACAACCCGCCATGTCTTATCATCTCTTATTACAAAGAACCTTGGTTCCCACCATTATACATTATTGTTTTCTCTAACTAAACTCCCAAACACATTCCTCCCCCTACCCCCAGTATCATCTAATTCTAACTCTAAGAGTAAAACCTAAAGTAAAGGAAAATGGCTGCGTCTCCATATGTTGTCAAAGCAAGAACATTCGATGTTAGCAGCGTTGACACTAGTATCACCAGTCTCAGTAAAAGTAGATCAAAGTTTCCTCTAGTTTTCTGGTCTTCATATGTATCCTTTATAATATAATAGATTCCAAAGTATAGGTTCAGTCCTGAAAGCAATATTTTATAATAATTCTTTGTGTCAAGTATCCAAGAAATGTCAATCAGGCAAGGTTGTAATCCACAATGTTTGTAGTGTTTAAAATGTTCAACTTCTCTGAAAACAGCTCAAAGGTCACTCCCAGCCAGGCGTAGTCCAAGGTTAAATTTTTCTTTCTCTCCCACTAGCTCTTGAAGTTAAAAGTCCAAGCTCAGTAGGTATTTATAATCCAAGAAGGTCACAGTGATAAGTATGCCAAAATATTTTCCTTTATTACAAGCTGTTCTCCTGAGCTAGGAATCACCAAGCAGCCAGGAAGCAAATTATAGTGCTATACACAAATCCACCACTAGAAAGTCCACATTGAAAGTCCATTTTCCACTTTTAAAACAAAGGATTGATTTCTTATATTTCGCTTCAATTTTTTTTTTCAAAGAGAAAATCTTAAAAATCTCAGTTATTTCCACTTCAATATTGTCCCCCATAAAATTAAAATGCCGCTTCCGTTTACATTCAGAGATTTTTAGCTTATGGGAGCCTTTCCAAGGAAATTCAGTTGTAATATAGTAAAGAAAGGATCAATATTCTCACCCATTACTATTGTGGTATGTTTTCTACATACATTTGTTAACTGGTTGGCAAAGAGTTCATCTATTTCTTCTGATTGGTTGGGTGGTCTGTAATATACAGCAATGGCAATGGCACTTTTTTCCTTTTATATTGACCCATATACATTATGGAGGGATTTTATCTTTGATTACATGCATTTCTGTAGATATGTAATGTTCTCTTACATATAGTGCAACTCCCTCTCCTCTTTTTATAGATCTATTTCTTTTGAAGAATTTGTATCCATCTATCAGTACATTCCAGTCATGGGTTTTGTCCCACCAGGTTTCTGTAATGCCAACTATGTCATACCTGCCCTCGTGTACTATTGCTTCTAGTTCACCCTGTTTGTTCCCCAAGCTTTCAGCATTTGTATATAAGAATTTAAGACCTTTATGTCTATCCGTGGGTATGTTTCCTGCATCTCCTGATTGTTGTTGGAGTTTTTCTTTTTTCTCATCACTCCCTACTTCATTGTTTGATTTGTTTTCTTGGGATTTATGACTGGTTTTATGTTCTAGAGATTCTAAAGATCGGTCACTCTTCCCTCTCAATTTTAGTTTAAAGCCCTCCTGATGAGTTGGGCCAGTCTTTTTCCGAGTACATTTTTCCCCGTGCAGCCCATCCCTTGCTAAGAATCTTTCGCGTAGGAAATGTAGTCCATGGTCCAGGAAACCAAAGTTTTCTTGGTGACAAATCTCAGTCTACTGGTTTTTAGCCTGGTGCCTTAACCTCTAGACCAAAATTACTTAAGGTAAGAAGCAGGACTACTATCTTTTAGAAAATGAGAGGTTATCCCAGAGTTCTTCATCCTTCACAGCAAGACTGCCCCTTCCTTTATGAAGGAAAATTTTCTATTATTTCAAAGAAATAATCAATACTTATGTGCTGTATTTAGTACATGCCAGAATTATACTGTTTGGCAGAAGCTTTTGGAGCAAACTCTTATTGCTCATGCAGCAGCATGCAACTCCCATAGTTCTGTGTCTTTTCTTGCATCAATCTCCATCAATCTCGTATTACCTCTGTCCTGGTCAAATGGCATATGGAAGGAGGAAGTTATTTAAAAGCCAGGGATCTTAACATTACCTAGCACTGGTCATTGAAAATAATCCCTCATCTCATCATACATTCACCATTTCTTATCTAAGAAGAACAAAAGTAAAAAAAAGTGATCTAATATTTATTTAGGTTATTCCCAAAGCAAAGCATATCAGCTGAGAAGACCATAGACTACTGGATAAAAGAGGATCTGCTCTGAGAAAAGGAAGTACCGCATGATCTAAAACAAAATATTAATCTGAGTTTTTGTTCTGTCATACTAGCATTCAGGGAGTTGAAGCTCATCGTCTCTTGAATTCCACTTTCTTGGCCATATTTTTCCTTGGCTAACCCCCTCAGAATTAAAACAATCTTGATATCTGCCACAATTACATTTCTAAAGAATAAAGATTAACCCTCACCTGCACTGCCTGCCGCTCATAGAGTGTCATTTGCGATATCTGAGGGCGAGTGCTTCCACCAGAGCCTGAGCTGCCACTGGCTGAATTTGAATTCTGCTCACTTTCAGTTTCCATCGTATCAGGTCCCAAGGATCCCTGTCTGAAGTTTTGTTTGAAGCCCTAAAAGAATGAATTAGGATTACCTTATGTGAAAAACATACATACATACATTGCAAAATTATTTGAATATTTTCTGTCTGAAATATAAATTTATGCCAAGTATCAAAATCTACCTATGATAGAGGGAGTATTAGTAATATAGATCACTATTTAATTAATCATCCAAAATTACACAAGATTTGTTTTACTAGATAACTGTGTTTCTTCAACAATAAGGCAAAATTTAAAAACAATGAAGTGATAAGTGATAACAATTAATTTTTAAAGCAAACATTTATGACTTTTCAATTAAGAACCAAGAAGTGGGAATAGGACTATTTAACCATGTAGTCCACACTATATGAAACTTGTAATGAAACAAATATGAAGTTTCTGAAAATAATTTCTGACTCTAATATAAGTACATAATTATGGTATCACATTCTTACACAGTACAGCTTGAATTTACAGACATTTGGTAAGGCATGGAGTTATACATACACACAGGAAATTTCATGGTAAGATTCCTAATATCTAATGTATGTTTTGCAAGCTGAACTGAGTGATGTACTTGAAAAATGCTATAGATGTTTCAATATTAACTCACACGAGAAGTTCAAAAATTGACCTCCTTGTGCACCAAAGGTCTCAAAATACTTTATAAAACACTTCAATCTGAGGCAATTACCTGATGTGCAGATTTTTTTTCTCTGCTATTCCATTAACTTCTAAATGTTGCTGAACTATAGAGTCCCAGTTTCTGCATCACAAGGCATCAAGCTCATTGGGAAGCAATTTTCTCTGTTTTAATCCTGTATGGAACATATTCCGCATACAGGAAATGCAGGGAACAATCACTTTGTCTACATAAATAAAAGCCCCACTTCATGCAGAGAAAATACGTCCTTACTCTCTTCTATGTCTTATGCAAAGTAAAGTTAGGTATATTGCTCACTTATCACAGCAATTAGGCTAATGTTAAAGATTGCTAAGCATTGTATTTGCCTTATGACCCAAAGGAAGATCTTCAAGAAGATGGGCCATTTCTTCCCTGAAATCTTCCCCCAATGTCATGTGATTATTAAGAGTAAGGTAGAGAAATTCCAGATCTTTACACAACCGGCTAGCTACCTTCTATTTTGTAACTCTTTAGAAAGTTTACAATTTCTGGTGATGCTTCATAGCAAAGTCTTGACTTACCAAAAGCCATTTTAATGAACTGGTCACATGTTTTCTTTTTGAATAACTGCTAGAGCTGGAGGAAATTATCATTAATTACTGAAAGAATAGACAACCACAACAAAACTAATGTGAAAAAGATAAAAGATAGTATCTGAATATCGATTTTACTGTTTGGACCACTTATGGCAACATTTACAGCTCTTTAATAATACATAAACTTTCATAGAAGAATGCCAATAATATTCCATAAGGATGATGTGGTGGTAGTTAATTTAATATATAGTTTATGAACTGTTTTGATTTTTTTTTCTTCAATCTCCGGAGCTGTTCCTAGCATTACACTCTTCTGGAGTTTTGACATTTTTTTCTGGGGTTTGTTGGAGCCATTCTCCCAGTTTAGGAGTCATAGCCCTGAGTGCTCCTTCCATCACTGGGACCACTTTGGCTTTTTCCTTTCTACATAGTCTCTGGTTCCTCCTTTAGGCCCTGGTACTTCTCCAGCTTCTCATACTCCTTTCTGATGTTGCCTTCACCAGGCACCACTACATCTATCACCATTGCTGTCTTCTGGTCCTTGTTAACTACCACAATATATAGATATTTGACCAATATCTTCATGTCAATCTGGATATGGAAGTCACACAGGATCCTAATCCTGTTATTCTCCACAACTTTCCATGGAATCTCCCTTCTGGAGGTCCAGCCCAGCGATAGTGACACGGCACAACATTCTGAGTGACATGCCTCCATTCATCAACAACCAACAACAATTATTTTTGAAAGCATGCTCTGTTCTCTCATGTTTTTTGGAGGCTGCAGAGATCATGAGAAAATGGGGGGGGGGTTACTCTTTCCTTCTTATTTATTTATTGAGTTTTATAAGGTTGGGGAAGGGATAGGACCAGGATAGGGATTAAGGTTCGGGGTGGGGTGGGGTTAGGATCGGGATTGGGACAGGATTGGGAACAACATTGGGGTTGCCCCCCAGTAACATTTTCAAGCTTTAGCAAACAGACTATTATCCGGGTACATATGTTCAGTTAATACCAATTAATATAATAGTAAATAGCTGTAGTGAATATGATAAACAATAATCATAAACAGTATCAGTTGGTCAATACATATCATTCTTCTTATTAATATATATTCAAAGTAACATATCACATTCATTTCTCACTAATTCGTTTTCCTAACCATTGGTAAAATTTATCCCATATTTTAAAATAAACTGAATCTTCTTTCTCTTTAATCTCTAAGGTTAGTCCAGGGGTAGGCAACCCAAAATACTCAAAGAGCCACTTGGACCCGTTTCCCACCGAAAACAAAACACTGGGAGCCGCAAAACCCTTTTGACATCTAAAATGAAGATAAACACTGCATATATCCTTTTTTACCTTTATTATAGGTATGTACGTATGTACGTACGTATGTACGTATGTACGTACGTATGTACGTACGTATGTACGTACGTATGTACGTACGTATGTACGTACGTATGTATGTATGTACGTATGTGTGTGTGTGTGTGTATATATATATATATATATATATATATATATATATATATATATATATATATATATATATATATCATAAAGGTAAAAAAGGATATATGCAGTATTATCTTCATTTTAGATGTCAAAAGGGTCTCTCTCCCCCTCCCTCTTTCTGCCCTTGGTCTGCCAGTCCTCTTCCCCCACTTAGTGTGTGTGTGTGTGTGTGTGTGTGTGAGAGAGAGAGAGAGAGAGAGAGAGAGAGAGAGAGAGAAAGAGAAAGAGAGGGAGAGAGAGAGAGAGAAAGGCACTTGCGCTTCCCCCTCTCTTTCTTTCCTCTCCCTTTCCTCTCCCTCTCTCTCTCTTTCCTCTCCCCTCTCTTTCTCTCTCTCTATCCCTCTCTCCTCTCCCTCCCTCTCGCTCTTTCTCTCTTTCTCTTTGCTCTCTCTCTCCCTCTCTCCGATCTTCTGCTCACCTGGCAAGCTGGCTTCAAGCTGTTCTCCAACAAGCTGATACACATTCTTATTGAGCTAGCTCAGATTTTTTTTTTTTTTTGCACACGGCAATGGAGGTCTAAAGCGGAAAGGTTTTATAAAACCTAGCTGAAGGCCTAGGACTGGGGCAATGGCGCGTGTGCCCACAGAGAGGGCTCTGAGTGCCGCCTCTGGCACCCGTGCCATAGGTTCGCCACCACTGGTTTAGTAGCTGTTTCAAATGGCTCCTCCAAGATAAAAAACAAGTCATCCGCAAAGGCTTGTAATTTATATTTTTGTTCTTTTATCTCCAGTCCTTTAATTTCTATGTCTTGTCTAATATTTCTTTTCAATACTTCCAATGTTAATATAAATAACAGTGGGGATAGTGGACATCCCTGTCTTGTACCTTTTTTGATATCAAGTTTTCTGTATAATCTCCATTTAGAATTATTCTAGCCGTTTGTTTATGGTAAATTGCTTGAATTGCATTTATAAAGTTTTTCCCAAAGTCCATTTCCATCAACTGGTGGAACATAAATTGCCAATTTAAGTTGTCAAAAGCTTTTTGCGCATCAAGAAATATTAATGCCATCTGTTTCCCTGGGTGATTTTCATAGTACTCTAAAACATCCAAAATCATTCTTAAGTTATTTTTTATCTGTCTTTTAGATAAAAAGCCATTTTGATCTGTATGTATAAATTCAGTCAAGAATTTCTTAATTCTTTCTGCCATTATCGAAGCAAAAATTTTATAGTCCACATTTAGTAGCGATATTGGTCTGTAGTTTTTTAGTTGTGTAAGGTCAGTATCTTCTTTGGGTATCAAAGTAATATTAGCTTCAGTCCACGACTTTGGTATTTTAGCCTCCAAGAGGATTTCATTACACAGTTCTTTCAAAGTCGAACTTAATACATAATAATACTTAATATTAATACTTAATACAGTAGAATTCTGCAGGAAGTCCATCTGGACCCGGAGTCTTATCTTTTTTTGTCTTTTTATAGCTTCTGTAATCTCCATCATTGATATTTTCTCATTTAGTATATTTTGAACATTCTCCGGGATTTTTGGCAAATCTGTTTCTTTTAAGTACGACTGTATTTTCTCTTTAGGAACTTCCTCTGCCTTATAAAGTGTCTCTAGTAATCTTTAATGATTTTTTTCATTGCAACATTGTGGAACTGTAATTCTCTTTTGAATCTTGTAGCTTATTTATCGTTTTTTTCTTTCTCTTTCTTCAATCTATATGCTAGCCATCTCCCCGGCTTATTGGCATTTTCAAAAAAAATTCTGTTTAGACCGTTTAATCTGTTGTGCCATTATATCCATCTCAGCCAGGTTTAATTTATGTTTTATTATCTCCATTTGTTTCTTGAGGATTTTCTTTTGTGGGTCTACTTGTAACTCTAGTTCCATTTTTTTAAGTTCTTCTCTCAGCTTTAACTGTAATCGTTTCTTTTCTTTATTCTTTTTAGAGATGTAAGTTATGGCCAACCCTCTAAAATATGCTTTAGCCATGTCCCATACATTTTGGAGGGATGTTTCTTCTTTCTTGTTTATTTTTTTTTTAAATTCCATTTCCTTTGTTGCTAGTTGTAAGAATTCTTTTTCTTTCAATATAGATTCATTCAGAGACCATCTTAGTTTCTTCTCGGTTCCTTTCCAGGTCATTTTTATTGGGTTGTGGTCTGCCCAAACATTAGTTTCTATCTCCACCTCTTGTATTATCATTTTCAAGTCGAAAGATGTCCATATCATATCAATTCTAGACCATGATTTATGTCTATTTGAATAGAATGTATATTGTGGTTTTTCTGGGTTTCTCTCTCTCCATGTCTTG